GTGAAATGGAGAAAACTTCTAAGCAATGGAAGAGATTTTTCACATTTGAGTGCTAATTTTTTTAGGAGCCATACCTCAAAAAAAGTAATTATCTGAAATATGCTATTAGAAGTGCAAAATAAATTATTTTTCAAAATGAGTGGGATTCTTCACTGTAGTTCAACATAATAAACATTCTCATTAGACTTTTCTTCTTTTAGATGTGACTAGAACACTTGTTTATTATTTGATTTGAAGGTGATTCTGAGAATAAACATCTTCTGAGATGAGGTAGTTTTGCTTTTGTTAGTTTTGTTTTAGTCTCTTTTGGTTCTAGTTCTGTCTTTAAAGCTTTCTCTCACTGAACATGAACTGGCTCTCTAATTTTTATTAGAATCACCACCATTCTTTCTCTGTAGTCCCATTTTAAAAAGATACTTCATTAGGAATATGTACTTGTAGTAATGTTTGATGCTCTGTTTATCTCAAATTCACGTGCTCTTCATTTTATGAAAATTCCACGTGCACATTGCAAATGGGTGTTTACCCAGTTGCTGTACATGCTAACACTAATGCTTTCTAGAAAACACTCAAATCTCTAAGCTGTTGCCATAATTGTAACAAATTCATTCTCTTTTTTGCTATCTTTAATCTTGTGCAGTCTTTTCAGTTTTAATAAAAGTAATCTTAGAGATAAAGGATTTCTTTAAAACTTTACTGTCCCTTTGGCAAGGTTATGTGCTATATCTGTGTGTAATTGAATTCAAAAGAGTTAAAGGAACATTAAGTTTACAAAATCAAGCTCTCAAACTCAGGGAATTCCACAGCTTTGTTTCGTTCTGGAGTCCTAATTAGCATCCTTGTGCACATATATTATGACAAATCTTTGTTTTCCTGTTCACTGTCTCCTCATTGAATGTACCAGTTGCAGTGTGCTCGCTTAAGATGCATACTTCTTGCATTTTATTCTATTGTTGCAGTTCAGCACGTGGTCCAATTCTGCACATTGTTCAGTGGTGGTGTGAGGATGAAATTGTTTTATAACAATCTTCAGTAGCATTTCAGTGTTCAAAATAGCAACAGAACTGTCCTATTGAGCAGTGAGTTGGGTGATTCCTATTAGTCAAGTGTTTGAGGTTTTTCGATATTAAAAATGAGGGGGTGACTATATTTAAATATTTTTAAAATAATGTTTGTATATATCAAAACATAATTTTCTGACCTTGGCTTTGAAGACCAAAAGTTATCTGTCAGAGAAGAAAGAGGTTTCTTTACAGAATCACAGTGTGGATTCTTTACAGTTTCAAATAAATTTCATGATGCAAATGTTCAAGGGCTCTGGGCTTGTGTATGCTAAACCTTTTACACGATTATCTACATCAAGTATTGCAAAAGTGACAATTATCATTTGGTATCATGGACATTGAAATGAGATGAGATGTGTTTTTATGCATTGAATGACTGCAAGCCTTTTCGATTTATAGATTTTAAGTTTCACTTGACCTTTGTAATTTATATAGTTAAACAGTTGGGGACATTTTAGGTAAAGCCATACATACCTGTATAATTTGAAAGGTTTATTGCCCACCTTCTGTTGCTTTTTGATATCAAAGGTATAGAATGACAGTTGCATCCTGCACATGAATTCAGGTTTCCAAACAGTGTGACAGGAGGAATCATCTGAGTATTACTCTTTATTACAGATTATTAGGTAATTTCAAGACTTCCATCTTTTAAACTGCTTTAGGAAAGCTTGAGTTTGTCTCAAAATATCTGCCTAATATATTAGACATACATTAATTTTGGTTCAGATATGAGAAGGTAGATGTCAATGGCATGTATTGGGTTGGCCAAAAAGTAATTCCATTTTTCTTTTAGTAGATGGACGTACATGTCTTGAAGTGTAACTAACTTCATTTTAAACTGCAAATTTGTTGTGTAACTTGACATCTGACAGTTCCAAGCTTGTTTAGAAAAGGAAAGTGCACAATTTCCTTAACAATTATTTATTTGGCATCAATTTCAAAATGGAAAATTAAAAGGAACATTTTTGTCATATTTTGCTGTATTATTTCTGAAAAGGAAAAAACACTGTGCAAGCTCACAAGAAGTTAGTTGATGTGAATGGTGAAGATGCCTTCAAACTATGGCAGTGTCAGAATTGGTCCAGAGATTTTTATGTTAAAGGAAGGTCAGTTGAAGTTGATGACAACAAAATAAAGGCATTGATTGAATCCAGTTGGCATTTAATGACACGAGAAGTTGCTGATAATCTTAACATACCTAAATCAAGCTTTGGAAATAATTTAAAACAATTTGGATACATTAGGAAGCTCGATATTTGGGTACCACATGAGCTCAAGAAATCTCACTAAGTGCGTCGACATCGGTGATTCTCTTTTGAAACAAGAAGAAAATGATCCATTTTTGAAATGTATGGTAACAGGCAGTGAAACATGGAACGCCTACAACAACTACAAATGAAAAAGATTGTGGAGCAAGTGTGATGAACCAGCTCAAAGCACGTCAAAAGCAGATACTCACCAAGGGAAGGTTATGCTGTCAGTCTGGTGGGATTTCAGAGTCATTGTGTATTTTGCATTGCTTCCAAGGAACCAAGCCATTAATTCGGATGCATACTGTCATCACCTGGATAAATTACATGATGTCATCGAACAGAAGTGTCCAGAATTGGTGAATTGCTAAGGTGATGTGTTTCTCCACTATAGCACTAGACCACATACATGTTTGGTCACTCATCAAAGATTGCTGCAGCTTAGATGGGAAGTGTTACCACTTCCACCATATTCACCAGACCTGGTGCCATCAGGTTACCACTTGTTTCATTCTTTAAAAAATGCCTTGAATGGCAAAACCTTCACTGCTGATGAGGATATCAAATCGTTTTTGGAACTGTTTTTTTGGTGAGAAAGTTAAGAACTTTTTTGAGTGCGGATTCATGAAGTTGCCTGAAAGATGGCAAAAGGTAGTTGAACAAAATGGATAATATATTGTTTAATACAGTTTTTGTTTCCTATGAAAAATTTACTGTTCATTTACCCAGAAAAAAAGCACAATTACTTTTTGGCCAACCCAATATCTTTATAGTTACTCCTTTCTTTGAAATACCTATTTTGTTTCAAAAGGTTTTGGACTGTGCAGGAGATGTTCTACTTCAGAAATATATTGATGAGGGTTGTGGCTTTATTCATATTGTTGTCTCTTATCTTACCAGTAGATTACAGTAACACAGACCAGTTTCACAACAGGTGAATCTAAGTTTGCAAGTTTCTAGAAAATAATAAATTCCCCTATTTTTAATTTACAAGTCGAGTAAGATTTCTTATATGGAATTCAGTGTGTTAAATTGACATATTTTTATTTTCTGCATTGGTTTAGCTGCACTTCCTGTGTTTATTTTATTGGACAGATGGAACCGTGTATTGTACAAGCTGAGCTGGCGCCAACATAATATTTCCAATAAGTTGTTTGATCATTGAACAAGTCTGCTTTTTAACTGGGCAATACGCCCATTGCCAGTGTGCAGCACTGGCTTAAAACAACTCAACAATTATACTGGTTGTGTTTAAAAAGCACCTTGACTGGAATCAGCTGGAACTGTTGGGCAAGGTAGTTAAGTATGCCAATAATTTTTTAACATCATCAGAAAGGGACTTTCCTTTTTTTGTTTTTTCCTTGGCCTCTGGAGGCCATCAGCACTTTTTCACACCAATAGAAGTTGGTTTAGCACCAAGGAAAATTTGCTGTCTTTGCAATTTTCCCAGCTCCAGTTGGCTTACATTGCAAAAACAGCAAAGCTCAGTGTTGAACCTACATTTTTTTGGAAGAACTCAAAGCACTGAGTAGCTATATGCCACATAATTTGAACGTATATATCCCAAAGAGCTATGTTCTTGATCATACTTCTGTTATGAGTTTTGAAGAAAATATTAAAGCAATCAGAGTTGTTTGTGATCTGTTCTAAAAGTATTTCTGAAATACAGAAGAAACATTCTTCCCTCTCTGTGTGGATAACATACCAGATATGAAGCTAGTATATCATTCTGCTTTCTAAACAGTAAATTAAAGAGCCATCTCTACTACTTGCATGATGTTTTGGGGAAATCTTGCGACCAAAGAATCTGTCTTTTATTCCAAAATCCAAACTCTAGATATAATTATGGAAAAAAGGGCTGAGGAAGCAAAGCTACCCTGTTTTGTTTTGATTGGACTAAAAGTTTAGACTTAAGTTCTCTGTGGTCAGGAGTCTGAGATTAAAGGGTATGTAATTAGATTCAATACTCCATGTGTCTTAATGCCCAGAAAGGCCAAACCCTGTCTGCAGGCAATGGTAGTTGCCAGGATCATCAAAAATAATTCATAGATGCGAGTGAAGAGGAAATTATGCACGCTTTCTGAAATAGTTTGTTCTTACTTGCTCTGTCTTGTTTCTGTAAAAAGAAGGGATAGGAAATCCCTCAAAATATCTAGTAAACAAGTAGAACTTGAAGTTGAAAAGAAATAATTTTACTTCTTGAATCAGATTACCTAGATCTTGTAGGTATTCCTCTATATTCAAGTCATATTTCATTAGTTTTCCCTTTTGATCCTCCTCTTTTCCTTATGTTAGATACAGTGGTATCCAAAGTAAAATAGGCTGTTGGTTGTCTGTGGTTTTTATATGTACATGCATGTATGAACAGAGAATCGATTTCTACATAGCATGTACCACATAGTCATAAGAGGGCAGGTTAAGTGCATCTTTTGATTAATATTTTATACCAAGTAATAATTAAGGTTTTTGTTTCAGAAATTTTCACATTGAGGTTAATGGCGATGGGCAAAACAAGCAGGTTTTCTTTTGCTGAATTAACAGTTGAGGGTAACGGTTGAGGATGAATTCGGTGCTGGTGACCTTCTGCAAAGAAATGATGGTACTTGAGGGTTCTGCACTTCCCCAGTGCTTGGGCTGATGGGAAGCAGACTCTGGACCTCGCTCTGAGTGCTCTTCTCTTTTACAGGCAAGTTAAAGATCAAAATAAGAAAGTAGCAAATCTGAAGCATAAAGAGCAAGTGGAGAAAAAGAAGAGTGCACAGATGCTGGAGGAGGCCAGGAGACGAGAGGATAATCTTAATGACAGCTCCCAACAGCTTCAGGTAACATGGGAATTGAATTAAAGCAACGTGGCCAATCAGCCAGGCTTAGCTAACTCGCTCTCTGCTGTACCTCCTGATCCATTTCCATAGCTGTTACTCAAGGAATTTGTTTCTGATTGTTTAAAAGGACACATCTACCCCAGAGCACTTCAAAGAAAGCAGCCTCTCTTAGTTTCCTTCATAGTTTACCCCATTTTCATAAAAGGGAAAAGTAATTTTAACTGTCGACTTGGTTATGAAGTGCGTTATTGAAATCATTTTATCATTTTGGTGTTGAGATTGGTGTGGCATTTCTTTCATCGCTGCTATTCTAACAACCTTTTTCTTTAGCTGTTTTGTGTATTTTCCCAGCTGGTTTTACTGGCTTATTGGTGCCTTTTCTTCAGTAAATGAAAGATAACCAAGTAAGTATTCTTACAGTGATTTGGTATTATTGTGAGGTATCTGGAGGACTGTGTTTTCTGTGTTTACTCATTGCTTGACAGGGAAACCCTGCTCTACCTCATGAATTCTTGGTATGCTTACTAGTCTGTTTGCTTTATTTCTGAAATGATAACATGCTACTGCCCCACAGAAGTATCTCGTTACCTCAAATCTACCTGGGATTATGAAAGTTACTGGTATAAAAGCAAGTCAAGTGTTTCTCAGTGTGCTATATGTTGGTATTAGCTGAAGATGGTTTATCAAATGGTAAGTTTTCAAGTGCTGTCATAAAAATGTTAAACTATAACCATGAAATAAATCAAAGATACGTGATGCTAAGTGAGAAGACAATAGGTACATTTGCCTGTGATTTCTTTAATTTACAGAAATAACTTCTCTTTTGGTAAGTGAAAATAAACATGGAAAGAGTAATCTACCCTTGAGGTCTTTTAAAATTATTTTTTATTCTTTAGAGAGCAAACCTTCTCCTAGGCGTTTTCTGTTGTTATCCTAGGTTAAATCCTGTTTCTCGTTACCAGCTACATGCCTTCATACATCTACAGCGAAGACACAGAATAAAGCCTAATAGTTCATAGGATAAATCCCCTCCTTACTTTAAACAGATCCTTCTTTACTCTGTTCTGTGGAATTCCAGGGGGATGGTTTAAACTCTTTAAGAACTTTTGAAAGAACCACAGAAACATGTGTCCGTGTGGTATGCTCTCAGATGCACCATTTTGTGGTTTTCCCCCTCAATTCCAGTCCTGTGTGTGTAGAGCACTGAAATGGTTAAGGTCCAAGTGTATGAAAATGATTCCATAACTGTGGACTTTTATAAAAGGCTGGGTTATGGGATTTCTACATCTGCTAATGGGTTTTGTGGCTGTAATGCTATGGCAATCCACAAGACTCTCGTTTTGTGGGAGCTTAAGTTTAAATAACACAATCCTCCTTGTAAAATGTTTTTAAAAATTCCTAAAACTAATACAATATTTGGTTAGATTTCTGATCTGTGTTTGAGTAAATCTGTATTTTAACTTTGAACAGATAAGTGGTATTTGGCATTGGCCTTGTAATTATGTGCATGGTGTATTTATTGAATGACACTATTCTGCAAGACCATCATCTTCTAGCACTTTCAGATTTTAAAAGCTATGACTTTCTTTTCTGCCTTTTTTCCCCCCACAATTATTATTCTCCTTTTCATTTTAGTTCCTTTTACACAAATGGAATGCATTTGGAAAAAGCTGGGTTTTGTATTGTTTTCTCTCAGCTCCTATTTGCATGCTAAAATTACTCTTTTTTATTCATTTGTTTTTTATAGACAGTAAGTTATGTAATGTGTTTGTGCAATCACACATAGCAATATATGAATAGTTATGTAGTTATTGGTTACTGATAACTTTAAGTCCTGTTAAAACTATTTAACACCCATTTCTGATACTCCAAAGAGATCATACAGCTTTGGTGGCAGCAACGAGGCAGCTTTTGCTCAGAAATTAAGTGGCAAAAAATGGTGCCGCTTTGTATCAGAGTTCTTTAGGATTATATAGCTGTCCTTGCAATGTACTATCTAGTTCTTTACTTACAACATGTTTTCGCAGTGTTAGACTTCATAGATATAAAACTATAAATAGCATGATTAGCAAAATTGAACTCTGAATATTTCCTCTTTTTTAATTTCAAAGTAACCAATTTACATCTGGAACAAATAGCCAATTGTCTCTTTTGAGGAAGCCAAGTTGTTTAATATTTTTCTCTTTTGTTCCAGTGTTAATTTCTTGTAACTTAGTGCTCTAATAGAGAAGCTAAAATTGGGAACAAAGATATCAAAGTGTATAATTTTATTATCTTTACATTTTTACATTCAGTTTTTCCAATTAGAGGTGTCTATACAGCAGCACATACTTTTTCCCCGCCTATGTTGTGTTTTATTGTGCACTGGTGTCTGTTGCTTTCTTTATAATTATTTGCAAGTACTTCCGAGATTAAAAAGAGACGTTACTAAATGTATGTAAGAATTTCAGACCAAAGTGGGATGTAATAGTCAGTGTTGAAATGTGTAAGTTATCATAGTATTAATATTACTTGATGTGTTCCCTAGTGCTTTTCCTGCTTTTGTGAATGTAATTGTCCTGTTTGGGTGGGCTTGATTTTAGAGAGTCTTTCCCCATATTCAACACAAGGCTGAAGGGAATGCTTTCATTCACAGATGAAAAAGGTCTGTATGCTCTAATGAAAATATCAGGCTAAGGTAAAATATGGAGTGTTTAACGACAAGTGACAGGTTCAATAAAACTCCTTCCTTTAGAAGAGCCCTCTGCTTATAGCCTCCCTCTCTCAAGGACTGCAACATTCTGGTTTCCTGGAAGTAAAATTTACCCAGGACCACATTTCAATTTGTTAGTTATGGACCTGTCTTTCTCCATAGACTCCTAAGGGCACTGCCTTCTAATCGATTTTAAAAAAAAATTAAACCTGAGAGTAACATAGATTTTTTTTTTTAATTATTTTTTTAATGCAACCATTGTTGGCTTTGGGGTCAGGACACACAAGCACCAATTTAAAGATAATTTTGGTCATGGTGGTTTTGGCTGGAATTAATAATAATACATTATGAAATGCTTAAAAATATATGATCTGCATGTTCTTCGGTTGACCGTCTGCAATCCAGTCGAATAAACACACTCCAAAGCACATACTCCACTCCTCCTCTCTCTGTCCCTAACAGGCATGTGGTTTCTTTCTTCCTGAGTCCAGTAACAAAATGTTCGTTTATTCAGAGAGCTCTGATGATGGAAATTTGGTATTTTGAGGAGTGGGGGAAGAATGAAAACCATAATGTCTCAATTCTAGTGAGATGGATAAATGGCTTTCCAAATTTGTCTTTTCCTCCTGGATTCCCTTAAACCACAACTCTCCAGAGATCTGAGAGGTTAACGAGTGTCTGGTCTATAAGCAGGATAAAAAAAACAAGCTGTGTGGCTGGAGCAGAGAATTTTTGCTTCAAGTAACTAAAGCTTGGCTATTGTGAGAAAGAATTGATATGCTGTCTTGTCCTTGAAAGGTAATTTATTGAAATTTCATGATATTTGGGTACTCGGAAGTGACATCAGGAAGGTAGTATGCTTATTTTCTTGTTCTGTCACTCTAGCATCTTCCACAGTTTTTAGGAGGAATTTTCAGAATATCTTGTGACATGGAGTTGTGTACTATTAGATCTGTATTGCAGCAGCTGTCCATCACTCTCTAATTGCTGCTGCCAAGCTATATGTCCAGAAGCCATGTAAAATATATTTGAATGCTTTAATGAGCAACTGTAAAACCAAGTACATTTATTAATTTTTTCTTCTTTTTCCATACCCAAATTCAGATAATTTAATGTATAATTCCTAATCCATTAATTATGTGTGCAAGTGCATATTGTTTGTTCCTTGTGATTATATATTTTTTTAGCATATTGAGCATTGAATAGGAAAAATATCCTTCTAGTGGAAAGAACTGAATTTTAAGTCTAAACAAATGTGCATTTTTTGGTTCAATAATTCTTTACTGGGATCCAAGCAAAACTCAATGAAATGGATAGGTAGCCAAATAACTTCTTATCAAGTGAACCTTCTAAATTTGTTAAATAACAGCCTTGATGCCTCAAGCTTGTCAGTGTTTAAGAGGCATTTGGACAGTACCCTTAATGACATGCTTTAACTTTTGATCAGCCCTGAATTGGTCAGGCAGTTGGACTAGATGATCATTGTAGGTCACTTCCAACTGAAATGGTCTGTTCTCTTCTATTATTTGCTATGAGGCACCATAGCATGTACATGCAGTCAATATCAGCATTCATGGATCTGAAAACCCAAGTGAAGCCCAGTATATCTGGTGTTAACGTACTGAAGAATTTCCTCTTGACATGCTGGGATTGGATCTTGAGGGTAGGGTGGCTGAAGATTTTTCATCTGCTCTGCTGATGGTAATACCATGCCATGATGAAAATGATGGCTTGTCCTCTTTCAGCTTTTAGTAGAGATTGTGCTTCCCTAATTACTTGCCTTTGGACTGTGTGTACAAAACTTCTGAAGAAACAGGTTTAAATAAAATCTTTCCAAACTTAAAAGTTCAAGATTTCCTTCATAACTTTCTAGGCATCACCAGCTTTGAAGCAAATTGGTTATGCTAGTTAAATGGTGTTACATGTTTTCCTGGGATAAGTGACTTTAAAGTGCTGAGTTCCTGGCTATTTTCTCTTTCATATAGACTACTGCCATATCAGATTCCAGCCTTACCTGCCAGCTGAGCACGGTGTACTTCCTTTATCCCTTGGATAGCACAGCTCAACATGTTAAGGCCCATGAAACTGTCAGCTACTTTATTTCAGCCTGGTAGAAATCTGCTCTTTCACATCATCTTGCATCTGCAGGATTTATTGCAGAGAACAGTCTGACGTATCAGACCTATATTTTCTCATTGAGCTCAAATCCATCTTTGGGAATTATTAAAATCAAAATGTTCTTTTTCCCTCCCTTGATCTCTCAGTGCTTTTTAGATGTTAATTATGTCAGGGAGAAATTTTGGCCTCC